AAAGGTATAACCCAACTCTTGACAAGATTCCCTCATGTTTGTCTGATCTGGGACTTTCAGGCTATAAGTCATGAAATTCCCTAGAGAGAAGTGGATGCCAGTGAAGCAGGTCACACCACGGAGTATAATATTTGCCATCCAAAACCCATAACACACTTGTACACACATGGTATGGCACCCCCTAGCTTGTGGTGGGATCCCGACGCTCCGGAGCCCCTCTCCGGTGAAACCCTAGCCCCGTTGGAGAAAAAATAGGCTTATACGAGTAAAGCCGGTAACCGCATCAAAATGGGGTAGAAAACTGTAACTAGTTGCTTGGTTGTGTTGGGCTACGCCCTAGGAAGTCACAAGACAGAGGTATAACACAACTCTTGACAAGTTTCCATTCGGCTTGTCCCATCGGGGACTATCACGCTATAACTGCATGTAAACTCCCTAAAGAGAAGTGGAAGCCGGTGAAGCAGGTCACACCCCGGACTACAATTTTGCCATCCAAAACCCATAACACAGTTGTACGCACATGGTATGGCACCCCCTAGCTTGTGGTGGGATCCCGACGCTCTGAAGCCCCTCTCCGGTGAAAACCTAGCCCCGTTGGAGAAAAACCAAGCTTATACGACTAAAGCTGGTACCGGCGTCAAAATGGGGTAGAAAAGTGTAACTAGTTGCTTGGTTGTGTTAGGCTAGGCCCTAGGAAGTCATAATACAAAGGTATAACCCAACTCTTGACAAGATTCCCTCATGTTTGTCCGATCTAGGACTTTCAGGCTATAAGTCATGAAACTCCCTAAAGAGAAGTCAAAGCCGGTGAAGCAGGTCACACCCTAGACTGCAATGTTTGCCATCCAAAACCCATAACACACTTGTACATACATGGTATGGCACCCCCTAGCTTGTGGTGGGATCCCGACGCTCCAGAGCACCTCTCCGGTGAAAACCTAGTCCCGCTAGAGAAAAAATCGGGCTTATACGTCTACACCCGGTACCGACGTCAAAAGGAGGTAGCAAAGTGCAAATATTTGCTTGGTTATGTTATGGTAGCCCCTAGGAACACCCAAAACAAAGTTATACCCAAACTCTCCATAAGATTCCTTCCTCTTCGACAGTTGTAAGTCTAGAAACTCACTAGGGTGAAACTGATGACGGTGAAGCCGCTAACATCCCAGAGTGAAATCTTGGACATGTACAACCCAAAACACACTTGTACCCACTTGATATAGCACCACCTAAATTTTGGTTGGATTCCGACGCTTTGGAGCCCCTCTTCGGCGAAACCCTAACCCCGCTGGATAAAAGGCCTTCACCCTTTATTGTTGGTTTCGTCTTTGCTCATGATTTTTTTAAGAAAAATAGCTTGAACAATATGTATGATGATGTAGATTTGCTTCTCCTCTTCGAAACGAGCTAAAAACATCGAAATCCGAGTTCGAATGCAAAAATTATGCTCAAAATGGTGATTAAGTTAAAAAAAGAGCTAGGCCAACGGCATGCCGTCGGTGTAGCTAAAAAAATACTAGGCCGAGGGCATGCCATCGGGGTAGCTCCAATTTTTTTTTGGTGGCCTGGTCGGGTCTACGCCGACGGCCCCGACATTTGGCCGTCGGCGTTTTGTGGTTTTCCCGTAGTGCATATCTTCTTAATTACTTGTTTTTGACATTGCGTTTCTGTTTATAAAGTAAAAACAGACGAAGCGATAAAAAAACTGACGAAGCAGCAGAATATCAAATGCGCTATTACTCTCCTTGCTGTCCAAGCTGAATATTGGATATTTCTGGCGCAAAAAAAAGTATTTGAATAATGCTCCGTATAGACGACCCTAGCGAAGTAGCACATATTTTCATGGCCGGGCAAATTGATTCCACTCGCAAAATTACTAAAATGGAGAATTTAGGACCTGATTAAATTAAGTCTGACCACAACGAACAGATCAACCGAGTTATGTTAGAGGAAAGATGCGCAAGGAAGCATCCAAAAAAGGTACGTTGTACATATCCGGATTGCATGTGCAGTCGTTGTGCCGGAAATGCTAGTTGGACTTCCATATTCCCTTACTAATTATTAAGATTAAGATCCATCATCGCCGATGTCGACAAAATACCTACTCCACAGCTGTATAAGACATATATTTAAGAATAAAGTACACTATAACTATTTGAGAGGTGTCAAGTTGGTCCAAATTCTATTAAAATGTATATCTGACTCCTATAAGTTTCTTATGTGTGTCACACATGGTTCTATGCACGCCAGATAAGCTTTGACTTGCATGCTCGACAGGTGGAACAATGCCACATGGTAATATTTTACATAAAGCCCGCCTAGAAAATATTTTCTTCTAATTCTATGTCCCTTTCCTTGCCTTCTGGTATAAGAGCACCAAGACAGCGATGCCCAAGCATATTCGCAACAAGGATTAGCACTGGGGCGGCTGAACTAGTCGCGAGAAAGCCACACACATGAGGTACCAGAGCAGATTGCATTATAGGCACGAAATAGTCACAAAAGCTCACTAGCAACTAGGGACACCCCGAACATGAGAACTGTCGCCAACACGCCCAAACTAGCTAGGATCTAATCGACTCTTTTTGACCAATTTGGTTGATAAGTACTGCACGAAGCTGACTATATGGATGGAACAAGTCGATTGATTCGGGTGCCAAACAACTCGCCAAAGCTAGCCAGACTAGAGGATTAATCTATGCGGTCATTTTTCGGTGTCAGCGATCAATCCACCCATGCAACCAGCTAAATACTACTCCCTCCATCTCTAAATAAGTGTCTCAATTTTGTACTAGCTCTAATATAAATTTGCACTAAGTTTGAGACATTTATTTTGAGACGGAGGGAGTACATCCATGTCCCAAAATACTCGACTTGGATTGGTCTAAATATGGATGTATTTAGACATATTTTAGTGTACACATACATCTATATTTAGACAAAGGTAAGTGAACTATTTTAGGACGGAGGGAGTACATAGCAGTAGTAGGACCAAATTGTTTAGGATATAATCATGAAATCATCCACTGTGATACTAGAGATGATGATGCGATCATGCGATGACCGTAGCACTGATTTAGCAGGTCGGGGCAAAGCTAAAGAGTGTCAGTTGTAGTATGACACGCCACAGTATAGACGTATCATGATGGTGGGCCGCAACATGTCGTAGCCAAAGTGGTTTCCACCCAATGGGTTTTGGCCACTTGGCAGTGGTCAAACTGCCACAAGTACAAGTCACTCTTAGGCTGGTCATAGTGAGGAGTAACTTATACTAGTGTCATGCATATGACACTAGTCTAAGTTACTACCTTCATAGTGCAAAGTATCATAGTAGTAGTGTCATAGAAGACTTCATTTATTAGCTTGTAGACTCATCTTGTCTTGGGAAGCGCTATGTTACAGTAACATATTATGTTATCACTTATCATTAACTACATGCCACGTAAGCAAAAAAAATTTTTGGAGTGCGCTATGTTACTAGCTAAGTTACTCCCACTATGACTAGCCTTATTTAAGCACAACTTGTCCATTTCTTAGTTGGCGGTGACGGGGATAGTTGTGCTTATGCTGTGCACGCTAGTTGCCATGATCCAGGATTGCTTACCAGACCACTCTTACTGATGCATGCATGTTCGTCCCACATCGCAAGTTGCATCCTAGAGACACGGTTTGTGTGATTTTCTCGACCCGGTCTCGAAGACGTACGTACCAGCAAGTGACTATTCATCGAATTGAAAGTCAGAGCTCGTGCTGTTTACTCGGAAAAAAATATTCATACAATTTAAATTAAATTAAATTGAATCGGACTAGCACTTGTCAGTGCAAAACTATCTTGTCTCGTGGGGTTCTAACCAAGAAAAACTGCAAACTCGATCAATTGCACGATGTGTAGCACCACATTTTTTACTCAGTCGTTGGCACGTCAACATCCCTATTTGCGTCTAGTTGGTCGATCGTAGTGGGTTTCCTGTTGATGAGGGCTACATGACCAAATACATTGGCTGCCTGCTGGCATTGACCGGTGATGTAGCCGTTGGCTGCCTGCTGGCATGTGCTACGACTGTGGGAACATGGCACGTAGAGGACACAAGTGGGAGGGCATCAAACAGGGAGAAGATGGAAATAGGAAAGGCAGACTGGGAAATCCACTTCAGGTCATAGGAGCGTATGCTCCCGCTGGACAAAAATGCATTTTTAAAAAAATGTTAAAATATTCTGAAAAAATATTAGGGCGTACATCATGGTATACTATGTTCGCACAACAAATTTCACGAAAAAAAAGATGTTATTTTTGGCTTATGTTAAAAAGACAAAATATCTCATGAAAACTCATTTTGGAGTACCGCATTTTGTCTTTTTACACAAGTGACTAAAAATGTCTTTTTCTCGCGATACTTGTTGCGTTGAGATAAAATGTCCGGATGTACACCGAAATTATTTTTCATATCTTTTTGACATTCTAAAATATTTTCTTAATGTATTTTACATAATGGGTGTATCCAGTCCTATAAGCCAAAGCACCACCTCCGGGCACACTTGAAAAAATAGATAATACTACAAGTCCAAAGGTCATCTCACATTGCAGTCTTCTTACAAGCTAGGGTTTGTTCACAGATAACCTGGTACAATTTTTTTTCTGCCGAAGGAATCTGTAGAAGCTGGCGAAATGTCTATATAGTATGGTTTTTTATCAAAGACATTCATAGATATGCCCCTGTGAGCTTAGGTGTTAAGGGCAAGGTCTCGGAAAAATAGATGTGTTACAAGTAAAATAGAGCTAATAGTCAAGTACACAAGCACACCAGATAAATAACTAGCGTGAAATAAATAAATCGCTTATATGGCAAATAAACTTACAAATACAACTTACATCACACGTCCAGAAAAATCACACTACATCAATAATTCATCTTGCAAAGGGGCCAATTTCTCATCACTTCAATCATACATTTTTTTTCAAGTTGTTGCCAGCTCCTCCATTCACTATTGTATATTTATTTGCCTCAAGCATTTCCTAAGGAGATGTAGGGGTCCATCATCCACTGCATGCTCCAGTGGTTGTTAACATTCTTGTACGTCCAGTAAGCCCATCCAAATGTGGCTTTCCGATACACAGCCATCTGCGCATTTGCAAAACGTTGGAAGTCCTCTTTTGTTGCATCCTTTACCTGCCACTCAGCCACCCATTCACCTATACAAAACAAGACATGCATCAATTATTTTGGACCTAGGTTTCAATTGGGACACTAAAGTTCAGGCTGGAACCTTTATCAAAGGATGATCTAATTATCACAAACTTACCAACAAATGTGAGAGGGCCATGTGGCCTATTTATAGCGTTGATTTCACTGGCGATGAAGTTGTTGATATAATCAATGTTATCCTGCACAGTGAAACTATCGAACTTGCTATCGAACAACGCATAGTAGTGCATGTCGAGGACGACCCTGTCGAATTGTGAGGCAAAGTCGATGAGCTCCAACGAAGATGCTGAAAGACGGTTGGACATGATCACATAGGCTGTAAGTGAGTGCCTCCTAACGGCATTGTAGCCTTGTTGGTAGTATGATTTCAGGTTATCTAAGGACACGCCGGGAGCAACCGGCTCATTCATCAACTCCACGGCCAGGAGGCTTGATCTCTTGGCGTACCTGTATGTACGTCAAATGCAATGAAGGATTGCAAGGTGATCGAATTACATGGCTTCTTTGCGCGATCTAATACATGAAAACAATAATTTATTAAGTAAAAATTATAGTAACAGATTGTTAGACAAATACCTTGCGGCGAAGAAATCAATGACTTGCACAGTTTGCGCGATTTGGGAGTCTCCCCATGTCTGCGAGCCATCCCTACCACCACTATGCTCGTTGGGGTTCTGCGACCCAGGTGCGGCATGCAAGTCTATTATCACGTGAATGTTGTGCCTCCTACACATGGGTTAAAAAACATATTAAAAAAGTCCAATGAAAACATTCTAGTTTGTTAAAGAGTACACATGTATGTATGTACATACTCTGCCCATGTGAACGCACTGTCCAATGCTTGGAGAGAGCCTCCCACGAATGGAGCTGGAGGGTTGGGGTCGCTGGCGATCCACCATCCCACAGGGATCCTCACCGCATTCAGACCGTTTGCTGCCATGAACGCGAAATCGGCTTCCACGATATATGTGCTCCAGTGGTTCTGCCAAACATATATATATGGAGTTAAGGAAATTGAATTGCCAAAAAATGATTGACACTTATGTTCCGTGTTTAAGAAAATTCTACACCAAGATCAGTTGAACTTTCTGCCATCCTAATATATAAACTAGCTTTAATGTCGCTACTCTATATCTCGGAAAATTATGGAGAAAATTAAGATGTCTTTTGGTATACATACATTCATGACCCGTGTAGCCATATCTTTGCCGTAGCCATTGCAAATCTGATACTCCCCATGTGGCCCGTTGACTATGTTCACTGCAAACACGGACGGATCATTGTCTCCCCAGGTCGTGCTCTCGCCGAAGTTGGCCGTCACCGAACCATCTTTATTTGCCTGACGTGCCAGCCATGGAACATAGTGATGAGCCATAGATGTTTAATCATGAACGATTGTGATTGTAAACTTTATTAGTCATAGCCAAAGTAACTTTTCTTGCTTGCTATATATATCTGATTTTTCATACAATCAATAGTCTACCCTCGAAATATATAAAATACTACTACTGAGTGGAATATTAATTTAATCACCTGCAGGAAGGACCCATTTGGTGCTCTGATCCTCATTCTATTCTTGTCGGCGTAGCTGCGCACTAGCTGAAACGTCTCAGTTTGCCCTGGCGCGGAGGCCGTGGCCACCACGTTAACGCTGGAGATGGTCACAAACTGGTTGTTGGACACCTTGAAGTTGAAGGTGTTCTGGTCGATCCGCCAGAGCTTGAAGCTCTCCCAGCCGGAAGCCGAGGGACGGTTGGCGACCAACGCTGCGCCGCCGCCATTCTCGGCAGCCACGAACGCATTCTGCGTCACGGACTTGAACTGCAGCTGTGTGCCATCCTGCTCCATCGATCAACCGAGATAAATTAAGAAAGAGGATCCCCGCAAAAAAAATTAAGAAAGAGGATGAGCCTGGCCTAAATTCAACCCAGAAGGAGGAAACATCATCAAGGTTAACTCATTACGAGGAGATCTTTGTTGGGGATGCCATCGAAGATGGAGGGCACCCAATTGACTATGGTCACTACAAACACGGACGGGTCATCGTCTCCCCAGGTCGTGCTCTCGCCAAAGTTTGCCTTCACCGAACCATCTTTATTTGCCTGCAGTGCCAGCAAAGGAGCATATTGATGACTCGTAGTTGTTTAATTAGGAACGATAAGAGCATGGTTAATAATAAAGTCTGTTGCTGGCTATAAGCCAATACCACATCATATACAACATTTATAAAAGCCCACTAATACAATAGTTTGGCTGTAAACTAGTTGTACTAATTAATGTTTGCACGTAAGGCAAGAATACACTTTTGATTGGTGGAAAGGCCTGCTCACACCGCTGCATGCATTGCTTTTTCTTGTTTCTCGCGTTGCAGCCGGCGATAGCTGGAGCACCCGTTCCCTTGTCTTTCGGTCCATCTCTCTCCTCCAGCAGTGATTTTCGATGACGTGGTACTGCTTATAGCCGGCTGACTAGACCTATTGTACTTGCTCTAAGTATCTTTCCATGCAACTTGCGGTTGTAAACTCTCGTACTTGTCATAGTCATTCAAGATAAAGCAGCTTTTCCTGCTTACCCCGGGGTATATGCCAAGTATGCCCCGGCATACCCCACGTGAGGCGTCCAGCTTAGGGCATCTCCAGCCGTTGTGCCCCCCAGGAGGCGTTTTTTCCGCCTCCTGGGGAGGCGCCGGCGGATTTTTTGCTCTGGGGACGACAAATTTTCTAGCCGTCGACACCCTCCCAGCGCAGGTGACTCTTCCCGGATGGCACCTCATGGTCGTCCACGTCAACCCGGACTCTGGCCTCGCCGTCTTCGCCACCGCGCGCTCCCTTGGCATGATAGCGTCCGGCTATGTCTGGATCGCCACCGACTGGCTCGCTGCCGCCCTGGACTCCACGCGGCCGCCCAATCCCAAGGCGATGAGCCTCGTGCAGGGCGTGGTCACGCTCTGCCAGTACACCCCGGACTCCGGCGCCAAAAGGTCGCTCACCCCCAGATTCGCCGCCGTGCAGCAGCTCGTCCTCTTCGTCGCCGCGGTGACCACATCTGCGACTCCACCGCCACCTCCATGCGCGGCTGACCAAGAGGAAGAGCCACCGCTGGAGCTGCGCCCGCGTGCTTCTCCTGCTCTCCGCGCGGCCCAGCTCCCCCTGCTGCAGCTTGCAGGAGGCCGTCCTCCGGCGTGTTCACGCAGCCCAGCGGTCGCTCCGCGGCAGGGCGTCGATGCAGGCCGCGTGGAAAGCATGGCTGCACTTCGGCAGCACCCGAATGTCTTGGCCGTCCTCGAACTCGGCGAGGCAGATGGTGCATCCGTCCGCCCCCGACACCTCGTCATCGTCGGCGACGTACCTGATGCTGGGCAGCGTGCGTTGGCGATGGGCGGGGCGTCCGCACCACGAGGCCAAGGCCGAGGACGAGCACGCGCACCGCGCCACGAGGCCAAGGCCAACACAGACCAGTGCGCAGAGCAGGCCGGCGAGGACGAGGACCGGGCCGAGCCACGCACGGTCGAGGCCACTACCGCAGCTCGGCGAGGAGGAAGTAGGGCGCGTGCGGCCGGCCGGGCGTCGAGGAGGCGGGGAGGAAGCAGGGCGCGGCGTGAGTGCTCGTCGAGGAGGAAGCAGGGCGTGGAGATGCACACGGGCGCCCCCTCACGCCGGCGAGCCTGCGAAGCATCCGCCCGAGGCGACCTCGTTAAGCACGCCGGACGCCGGCCACGCGCCCTCGCTGGCCCGCACGTCGGACGCCGGACGTTGGCCTCGCTGCCCCGCTGCCTCGTCGGCGCGCTCGAGAGAGAGGGGCATGGGAGAGGAGAGAGGAAAAGAGAGGAGAGAGGGTGTGGGCACGTGGGTGGGGGCCAGATGAAAAGAGAGGAGAGAGGGAGGTGGGAGACTGAGAGTGGGCCAACAGCGAGAAAAAGTAATCGCCAGCACGCCCAGCTGCCCCCCGGGGGGCTGGGTTTGGGGTGGGTTTGCCGGCGTCGTTTTTCTCCAAATCCGACGAAAAATGAGGCTTTGGAGGCGTGAGTGGGAGGATTTTTTACCGCCGGCGCTAGAAAATTGGCCTGGGGGCGTTCCTGGGGGCGTGGCTGGAGATGCCCTTAGCGATTTGATCCCAGCTGGTACGGTCGCTGTCGTCCTAGGCGGGACGTCCTCAACTTAAAGGCCCACATGCATGTGAAGATTCAGTAGCTAGCCACATTACGGGGCCAATGCATTATGTTTATCCATAGGCTTAGGCAAGTTGAGTAGTTGGGTTATTTAACTACAAAGTTAGTACTACTTAGCTGGCTATTGGCCCATAGGTTAGTATACTATCTGAAGTCCGTACATAATTACATATACCTCCTGTATATTGAAAATACATCAGTACAAAATATCATAAAAAGTAGACTTGCTAATAAGATAGTCGATGATTTCATATCTAAATCCCACCATCTGATATATATATTTGATCTGATCGGTCAAGAAATCCCAAATTTTCAAAGATTGGCCTAAACATCAGGACACCAGAAGAATTGAGGAAAAATGCCTAATCCTAAAAAAAAACTTCTACTTCAAATCCTTCAACAATTGAAACCGTGGCGGAGAGCACACTCTTTGAAGAAATTATAAACATGAATTTTACCGAAATGAACTCAAAATTTTGGAGCGGTGTTAAAATCCTAGGTCTGCCACTGTCCTTGAATGATATAAAATACTACCAGTGATTTTAGTATTAAGTTACTTACCTGCAAGAAGAACCCATTCGGTGCTCTGATCCTCATCCTATTTTTGTTAACGTCGTTGCGCACTAGCTGGAACGTCTCTGTCTTCCCGGCCATGGTGGCCGTGGCCACCGCGTTAACACCGGCGATGGTAACGAATTGGTCATTGAACACCTTGAAGTTGAACGTATTCGTGTCGATTCGCCCGAGCTTGAAGGACTCCCAGCCGGAGGCCGAGGCCCGGTTGGCGACCAGTGCCGCCCCGCCGCCATTCTCGACGGCTATGAACGCATTCTGCGTGACGGACCTGAACTGCAGCTGCGTGTCATCCTGCTCCATCGATCGACCATGAGCATGGCATTAATTCTACACGGACGATGAACGAAACAGTTTGGTGAATTCATTACCTGCAGATCGTTGTTGGGGATGCCGTCGAAGAGGGAGGGCAGGATCCAGCCCTCTGTGACGAGCCAGCCGCCGAGGTTGGCTGCCCGGACGAGGGGAACAGGAGAAGCCGGGTTGGGGGGCTGGACGGCCATGAGAATAATATCACAGGAGGACGAGGAGGAGGCACATGCAAGAGCTCCTCGTTATTTTGGCTGTGTCGTGTGGAGTTCTGGCTAGTCTGGTGGTCTCGCTTAAATAGGAGATAGATCAAGTGGATCAGCCAACAGAATATCAGAACCAGCGATCAACTGAAATCAGGGAAGCAACTTGAAGATATCATGTGGTGTGCGCCAAACTTGAAGATATAGTTTGCCAGTATGTCACTGATGTCGCCAACCTTGAATTGACGTTGTTTGGATATAGTTTGCTTGGGTCGTTGCTTTATAATATAAAGCGGGAGAAAATCTTTTTTCTTACCTTGAATTGACGTTGGAGCCAATGTACATCCCCGCCGTGTTAACGGGCAAAAGAATGAGTCGCACTCCGTGGTCACAAACGTGATGCCAGGAATCGTGCAAAATCTGGCTTCCGCCAAACCATCTTCTTCTCTCCGGTTTGCGGCACACCTTATTTCCAACAATATAAAGACAACAACCTGCACGGGGTTAATTCACTAAACTTCTTTGTTCTTTTTGGAGCTGAACTGTGGGTTTCCCACTGCATATTTTAAATAAATTATGAAAGGCGTAAGAATACAAGCACCATTGGCCAGTGATAATTTAAGGGGATCTAATCTTGGCATTAACAACACATCGCACTCAACGAACCAATCCAACTGTCCAAGCTGACTCAGAGTGTGGGGTCGAGGACAACCCGACGGGAAGCATGTGCTTGGCGCGTCTACACCTTGTTCTCAGAATCTGAGGTTTCTTGGCAGCACTAGGTAGTGTTGCAGCTTGTGTCTCAAGTTGGAATTGTCAGACGTGTTATATCCAAGACTGAGACTAAGAGCATCTCCAACCGTTCGGCCTTCCAGTACGCTGAAAAGAGGTGTCGGGGGTGAACCGGCGCTTGTTTTGCACGTGGGAACGATTGCGTGCCGAGTCGAGGCTCCCAGGCCGAACCCAAAAAACGCGCGAGCTCGGCGACATTTCACACAAAATTGCACAAACTTCGGCGATGTTGAACAAACTTGGTGAAACTTCATTAAATTTGTAAAAAAAAAACAGATAAAACATGCAAGCTACGCCAGACTACGTCTAGCTACAGCTAGCCCTGCTACGCCGCGGCCACCGCACTCCATCTACATGCCAATAAGCCAATTGAAACATGTTAGAATAAATCCGAGGCCACCGTCGATCTACCGAGGACCAAGCAATCACATGAGGAACGACACCGAGATTTGTTAACGAAGTTCACCGATATGGCTACGTCCCCGGGCATTACTACGGGCGCTCCTCCCCATGACACCGTCACAATACCGCACCCTAGCCGCCCGGGCGCTGGCACACGTCGCCGGCTCCCCCGCGTGCCCGTGCTATTATGTTGGCATAGGTTACATCGTGTGTCTACCTTCGCTATATATTAGAGGCCTAAGATACAAGTGTCCTACTCGGACACGAGTCCATATCCTGTCTACACACTGTACGACTCCAAGTCCAACTGTAACCTAACTTGTACATAATATTCGACACAACTCTAACAAACTCCACCTTGGCGAATATTCTCCACCACCTTGGATTCATCTATACGTCGAACCTCCATGTACATTGGACTTGAGATACGCCATGAGCACCGCTGCTACTCCCAGACTCCACGTGACTCCACCGGCAACCGTAGTTCCTTCTCGTCTTCTTCACAGTCAACACTCGAGCAAAATTAAGTTTCTCGTTACTCTACCTTGTGCGCCCAACTTCCGGAGTATCCGTCCAACGCCATCACACACCGATCATTGTCCGCGTGAAAATGAACAATTCACATATTGGACGCCACATATAAGAGTTACCTGAACTCAACGTCACCACTCTTTCTTGACCGTCTGTCTGAAACTTGAAGGAATTTCACCGTCGCCCTGTGTCACCCTGAGTCAAATTCACAGTTGTCTCATCCTCTTTCCGGATAGTCTCTAACATGTCCCACAGCTATAGCACTCCACCTCCTTCTGTACTAGTCATCCGCACTTTGCCATGTGCACTGAACACCACAGAATATACGGCCATGTACACTCTTAACTTTTGACATTAAGACTTTCCGCCACTTTCGCAGATTCTCCATGGTCAACTCTTGTCCATCAGCCGGCACCGATAGACCCAGTCACCAACTTGAATCCGGTACTCGTCAACACTGCTTCGGCACCCCTGCACAATTTTGTCTGACCACATGTCTGACCACCAGTGCCTTGACCTGTCACTGTGTCCCATGCTTACCGCACGCCTCGCGCTATCACCGCGTCGAGCCTCTGTTGTCCTGGTCGAGTCTCCCAGGTTGCGTACCCACACCACTCAAACCCCTACTGCAGAGAACCACCGATCATCACCGACCGATGCCAAGTATCACGTCTCCATCAGACCATTGGTACCCAATCCGATCCACGTGTCTCTCGTTATCCCGCTGAAATAGGCTTCGACTCTCCATGCATTTACGCCGTAGCCCCTCCATCAGCTCAGAGTGTAGTCATCCATCGGACTCCAGCTCCACCTTCAACATGACTCCATGTAGCTGCGCTATACTACCCTGCGCCCTGTCGACTTCAAGCTCTCTCATGTGTGCACCATCTTGAATCAACCCTGCGCCATAGTCTGTCGAAGCCGCACAAGCCCTCAGGCCTGCACCACGTGTTTCCACGCCCCCAAAGTCGGCCACCATCAGCATCACGCTCCTATGTCGTCGTCGCTGAAATCACCATCGTCTTCTGCTTTGACCAACATCCCCGTCGATCCGTCAGATAGTCCAGTCCGACCCAGCCGAAATTATCCGACTGCAACCATGCTCCACCCTGCGTCGTGTCCGCCCGCACATCATCGTGCATTGCTTGACGCCCTGTGTTTGCATGATCCTATCACGACATGCTCCAGACTCCTCCGAGCCTTATACGCACGTCATCATCTTTGCCACGCACACCACAGACCCTCACGCTACCATCCTCATACACAACTATGTACAAAGAAATAAAGCCAAACTGCACCACGTAAGCCTTCCCGTGTGCACTTCACCATGAAGATCAATGGAAAAACTCCCAACACTCCACCTCGTGCTCCTATAGGCCGTAAATCAATTAGCTTTTCATCTTTTCCTCTTGATGGATAGAATCAGTCTGTCACGTAGCCCTCCTTTTATTAACCAACAAATCTCATCTTGTATCTGTATGCACAGCAACACAGGCACCGCACCTTCTCGTGCCTCGCCACACATCCCAGGTTGCACATCAGCCTCCAGCCACGCGGACTCATACGGCTTTCAGCCCGTCTCGGCCTCACACAGGCCAGCCCCAGCTAGACCAGCCGTGCGCCGCACTGCGGCCTTAGCCTCTGGCGGCCCTCCCCATGTACGACGCGCCGCCTGCACGCTGCCTCGGATCCGATCGATCCGATCTCGCCCGTTGCGCTGACTAGGGTTGCCTACTCGCGGCCACCGCTGCCCATCGCTTCCCGCCGAGATGACCTCGAGTACGATTTTGCAGCCGATGTTTCCGTCCGAAACTCCAGCCGCCGCACTCATGCGCCTGTACGTTGCTCCGCACCTTGGGCCCTGCTGGCTCGCTAGATACGCCTGACCTAGCCGCTGTTGTTGCTCGTTCCGCTGATTCTGCCTGCTTTCCGATTGCTCTCCACCGCGACAATCTCCGATCGCTGCCTGACGTCCCGCACGCATGTCGTGCTCATCTGCAGACGGTCTCCATCGCGTTCTCCTCTAGATCAACAACGACAACGTCAAATCAAACCTTGCTCTGATACCACTTGTTAGAATAAATCTGAGGCCACCGTCGATCTACCGAGGACCAAGCAATCACATGTGGAACGACACTGAGATTTGTTAACGAGGTTCACCGATATGGCTACATCCCTGGGGCATTGACTACGGGCGCTCCTCCCCATGACACCGTCACAATACCGCACCCCAGCCGCCCGGGCGCCGGCACACGTCGCCGGCTCCCCCGCATGCCCGTGCTATTATGTTGGCATAGGTTACATCGTGTGTCTACCCTCGCTATATATGAGAGGCCTAGGATACAAGTGTCCTACTCGGACAGGAGTCCATATCCTGTCTACACACTGTACGACTCCAAATCCAACTGTAACCTAACTTGTACATAATATTCGACACAACTCTAACAAAACGGGTGTAGTCGCCGCCGTCGTCGTCGTCGCGCGCCCCGCCGGAGCCTCCACCGTCCCTGCTGCACCCCTGCCCAGGGTAACCGTCGCGTGGAGGGGCGCTGTACGGCCCGGTCTCCTCCTCGTCATCACTGTCGAGGACGATGACGTTGCCCTCCTCGCGCCCGCGGCGCCGGGCTTGGAGCTCCGTGTATGCATGCCGCTGGCGGAGCACCTGCTCGCGGTCGTAGTCCTCCCTCGCCCACTTGAGGATGGACTCGTCGTCAAGGGCCACCATGCCCACGTAATCCGGCTTCACGGGGAGCAGCCCCGGCTCGGGCTTCGGCCGGACCAGGCGGAGGGAGCGCGGGGAGGGCGTCGCTGCGGGCGGGGAGTGACGGGCACCCTCGTTGATGATGAGGGCGCCGCTACATGTGCGGCGCCGAAGAGGCGTCTCCTCCGGCTTCGGTTTGACGGGGCGGAGTGCCGGCGAGTCGGAGGAGAGCGCAGACATGGAGGAGAGCGAGCCGGAGCCCGACGAGGAGGACGACGCAGGCTCCATTCGCCGCGGCGTCCAGGAGCTGCCACGGCGGCGAGAGAAGGACGGCCGCGGTGGGTACTCGAGGTGTGGCGTGTGCTACGTCTTGAGCTTGTGTTGGTTTTCCTTGAAGAGGAAAGGGTGATGCAGCAATAGTAGCGTAAGTATTTCCCTCAGTTTTTGAGAACCAAGGTATCAATCCAGTAGGAGGCTCCACAAAAGTCCCACGCACCTCACAAACAAACAAAGAACTCGCAACCAACACAATAAAGGGTTGTCAATCCCTTCACGGCCACTTGCG